GACGTGTGCCGCGATGTAGGCCGAGGTACGGCGATCGAATTAGTTGAAGGAGGAAAGGAAGAAGGAAGAGAAGATAAATGGTTTTTTTGTTTGAGTTATTCATTAATTATTGTTAGCATTCTCCTCTCTGGGTTATTTCAAGAGACGAAGGATTCAATCTATTTTTCGGCGCATTCACGATAAAGGCGCGGAGTCCTTAAAATGAAGGGGGAAAAGGAAATAGTGTGGTGTGCAAGGGGAACCCAATACAATAGGGAGGAGGGTAAGTTTTCTTCTTTGTTTTTTTTTTTTTTATTTATATTTCTCGATTCTTGTGGAGCGCATGCCCTGGTGGCTGCGGAATTACAAGAAGAAAAAACGAGAATGCCAGCGAAGAGAAAAGAAAAAAAAAGTGGGAACCGATGAGTGCGTATAATCGCATTTCTTTTTTGTGTTTGATTGTCTGAGCGATCTTTGTTTTATGTCGCGTGTGGACTTGAGAAAGACACGTTACTGAGCGTCATGTTTCTGTCATTGTGTTGATGCATGTTTGTTTGTCTCCGTCGTTGTTGGCTTTCTTATCTTTTTTTTTTTTATGCCGTGTTGAATTCTGTTGGGAGGGAGCGAGGCACAAAGGTCCTATTGTTCGTGTGTGGCCTCCGCTTTACTCGTACTCTTTAGCGTATCAAGGTCGTTTGTTGTTTTGCTGGTTTGTGGGAGTTTGTTTGTATCGGATTTAGGTGCGTGTGTGTTACTTCAGCGCGCCGTAAGGAGGAGGAGAATAGTGGGAGTATGGCGCGAAAGTCGGGTGTGCGGTCAAAGTCCAAGTCGAAGAAGAAGGCGCCGCCGCCGCCCCCCGTAGTTCTTTATGCCACGAAACTGGAGGAGTTTGGAGCGTTGGTGTTGCAGCACAAGGGTGCATGTCTTGTTGCTGTTCTGACGTCTTTCTGCAGTCGTTGCACACGAACCGTTATGCCCTTCTTGGAGAAGTTGAATTTGGAGCGGCCAGGTGTGCTATCGGCGCTGAATATCGTGGTGATTAACGCCAGCGATGAGTCAGCAGAGTTGTGTCAGTCACTGGAAGTAGTTTCCGTTCCTACTTTTTTTGCCTATTCCTACGGGAAGCGACTCAATGTTTTTTCAGGGGACAATGTGGAGAAGGCACTCCTGCTTGCAAAGTTGGCGGCGCAGAAGGCAGAGGAGGATATGAAAGAAGCGAAGAAAGAGGAGGAAGCAGCGGCAGCAGCAACAACAACAGATGCAGCAGATGCAGCAGCAGCGGAAACAGTAGTGAAAGCAGCAACACCTGAAGGCTAAGCTGCTGCAAAATATTTGGTAAAATCATGATGCCATTAGTTTTTCTTGCTGCGTGCGAATACATTTTGCGGCCAAAGAAAAAAAAAGGAAATGAGAGAGCCAGTCTTTTTTGCATCTGTGTATGTGTTGTTTGCATGCACATAGACAAATTGAATGATGTAATAAAAAGTAACTTGGGAGGCGCATAAAACACGCATGTATGTATAATATTTCTTTGATGATGATGGGCTTGCTTCTCTTTGGGGATTTAGATTTCTAATGTTGCGATTTATATATATATTTGAGTATGGTTGTTGTCTCTTTGGGGTTTCCCCTCCCTAAACTTATTTTTCCCCATTTCTCTTGTTGCACATGTTTGTACTGGAGCGAAGCGTATAATCTCCAAAGGGACTCTTCGCGAACGAAGCAGAAGGGGGTCTCGTTGTTGAAGATCTCTGACGAGTTTGCATAGTCTGGCTGTAAGAGTAAAGAGACAAGGGAACGGTGTGCGGCAGGAGCGAGGCAGCAGCAGCAGCAACCTACAAAGAAGGACGAGTTTGGGCGGGTACAGGTGTTTCTCTTATCACTGATTTTTTTTGTTTCTTTCGTTGTTGATCCTCTGATTGTGCGCACGGTGGTGTGCCGTGGTCAGTCTTGGTGACACACTTTGCTCTGCAGCACTGATTCACGTCCCATATCCAATTGGAACCTGGTGGAAGGCGAAAGGTGCCGAATTAAAACAGCGAGAGAGCCTTTGCGTGAGTGCCACATAGACAGAAAGTGAAGCAGAATACGTTTTTCTTTCTGGTGTTTGTGTGCGCATATTGTTATTATTGTTATTTTTGCCTCGCTTGGGTGTCGTGTGTTGGTTCCAGCTCGCGACAGCACGCCTTCCTGCAGAGTGTGGGTGTGTGTGTGTCGTCCGGCCCGCGTGTGACGGTGCATTGCGCGGGTATTTTTTCCTTCCTGACAGTGGGGAAAGGCGTCAGGAAGAGCAAAACGAAAAACGAACGGATTCGATACGGTCAGCACGCGTGAGGGAGAAAAGCGCTAGAGGACTGGTGAAGCTAAACGAGGTAGCGAAGGAGCACCACAGCGGGGTTGGCGAAGGGGGTTTTGAAGTAAAGAGGGGGACATCTCATTGTCCTTTGCTGCTGCTTTCAGTGGCGGCGGTGGTCTTCGGTAAAGAGGAAATTCTGTGTTTGCTTGGTCGTGTTGGCGGGGTCAAACGGAGGTGTGACGTTTTAAATCACGCATTCTTTGTCACTCGTATTGGTGTGATTTATGATGATGGCGATGAGCTATCAGCAACGCAATGCACAGGCAGTGAAGGTTATTCTCTCCGAGCTCTACGTTACATGGAGCACGAGCGACGAGGGTGGGTTTGAGATCCAAACGGCCCTTGAGGAAATACTAGGTGCGGCGTACGCCACTGATAGAAATGTTGGCTACGCGGGAGTTGACGACGAACGGCGTTGCTACGCCTCGAACCCCGATAAAGATGATGATGAACAATCGTTGGCGGAGCGAGTTGTGGAAGTGTACGGCTCACACCATACGGATCCCGGCTTGGTCCCACAAGCATTATTGCCAAGCCTCTCGATATCCCCGCCTGCGTCACCTTCTGGAAGCATTCACCGTCGTTTGTTGGATGAGAGCCAAAAATCTCCAAGCCCTGTACTAGCCCCACGATTTTTTGGAGTGGATGAGCTGGATTATCCACACCGTGCATGCTCCCCTGGTGCCATAGGTCCATCCTCACCGAACGTCTCAGTACATCTAAAGCCCGTTGTAGATCCCATGGCACCTGTGCCACACATCAGTAGCACCACTAATGGAACCGTCTCTCCGCCTGCGGCACATTCCTTAGGCAGCCCCTGTCTGGATACCACTGTTGACGCCGCAATGGTCTCAGGAGATGTGTTCACCCCACTAGAAGCGTCACCAAATGGAAACATGTCACAATCGCAGCGCCTTGTACACTCCTCTGGAAACTTTGCTTCAATGCCCCCAGATAATGTGCTGCGAGCGACATATGATGACATCCCGATCTTTTATGAAAAGGCAGAAATGAAAGGTATACAACACACCATTTCAGAGGCTGAGGAAGATTGTTTAAAAAGTTTCTTTGCAATGAAGGGTTCTGCACTAAATCGCAAAATATTATCGGGTTCTAACTTACCCATTGACTCCACGAAAACAGTACGTAAGGGTCAGTTTAGCAAACTCTGTCAGGAGGTTTTCAAGATTCCAACATGGATGAAGGATGCACTTTTTGGTCGTATTGCAGCTGCAGCAGGCGTCTCTGAATCCGCTGCCCTCACCTACGAACAAATATCGAGTTTTTATTACAATATATTTGGTCCGCTTACGGTGAATCGACGACTGTTTGAGCTTATCCGGGGTGATTCAGACAGCCAATATTTAACACTGCAGAATTTTAAGGACATGGCGCGTTATTTGGTTGACTCCCATCCTGGGCTTGAGTTTCTCAAACAACCAGAGTTTCAGGAGTACTACTGCCGCACTGTTGCTATACGAATTATGTATTCATTAGAGCGGCAACAAAGCGGTAAAATAAGCTGGTTTGTATTTGATCGTAGTGATCTTCCTGAGGTTATGCAGGAACTAGATGAAAAAGATGTAAATTTGGTGCTACAGTATTTCTCGTATGAGCATTTCTACGTACTCTACTGTAAGTTTTGGGAGTTGGACACAGACCGGGATCAACTTGTCGGGTTTGATGACTTGTGTAAATACGGTCAAAACTCCGTTTGCCCATCTGTCATAAAGCGGGTAGTGGAGGGTGCGGCACGGCCCCTTTCATCTGGTAAGCAGGAACAACTGGACTTTGAAGATTTTGTGTACTTTTGTCTGTCCGAGGAAGATAAAAATAATAGCCCGGCGGTTTATTACTGGTTTAAGGTGCTTGACGTAGATGGTGATGGCATCTTGAGCGGTTATGAGTTGTTTGAGTTTTATAGGGAAAACCATCAGCGTTTCTTGGAGTTTTCCGAAAACCCAGGAGATCTGACGTATGGGGATATGATGTGTCAAATGCTAGACATGATGGGGTTCTTGTGTAGTCAGGATGATCAGATTGGCTTAACGCTGAGTGACCTGCGCGCGTGTCCGACGCCGTCTAACTTCTTCAATATGGTGTTTAACGCCCAGAAGTTTATGCTTTTTGAGCACCGCGACCCCTTCGCAGAACATCAGCAAAAGTTGCGTCCGGAGAAAACAGACTGGGATCGCTTTGCGCGTGCGGAGTATGACCGCATGGCAAGTGAGTCCCAGTGAGACGAAATAACACATGAGCAGAAAAAAAAAAAGAGTTGAGAAGTGAGCGAGAAGCCGAGCCGGTGGGGAGGGAGGGGAGGAGAGGCGTTAAGAGGAAGCGCTGGTATGTGCCGATGGAGTTTGCAAGGAGTAAAAAAGAAAAAAAAAGACGTGACTGAGAGCAAGAGGGCGTGTGGAGGTGAGGGTGTTTATTCGCTCCTTTTTTTTTTTACTGCACTCTGATGGTGGGTTGACGATGCGCCGTCTCCTGCCGTTCTCTGCTGGCCGCCACTCTTCACTTTTCTTGTTTGTTGTTGTTGCTTCACGCGTTACGAGGCACCGTGGGCCGTTCCCCCTGCCCCGTGTGTGTGTGGGAGTGTTCGCTCCTCGAATTGGTACGGAGCGGACACCAACAGGCTGGGGTGCGCACGAGGGAAATTCGAAGAGGAGGAAGATAACTCACAGTGTGCCGCCTGGTGCCGTGTGGAGGTGTCTGCTCTAAGAACGAAGCGAAAATAACAACGCGAAAGGAAACCCCTTCACCCTCCCAAACAAAACGAAAGAAACAAAAAACGAAGAAAAGGAGCAGGCAATGACGGGAAAGAAAAAAACACAAGAATGACTGCATCTCCGTTTTGTTTGTTCCCGTTTCTATTTTTCAGTGCATCTATTTGGTCATAGACATTTCTTTATTCTTTTTTTCTGAGTGCGTGTGTATTCCACTCGACGTGTTCTTGACGCTCCCATCACCGTGACACATTTCATTTTTTCTTTTCTTATTTCTGGACATTTTTTTTTTTTCCTGCACTTCTTGCTGGCAATATGCACTCATCCCCCATGGCCTCTGCTTTACAGTAGGGAACGAGAGAATCAAAACCTTAGAACGTGAAGGCCTGGAAGGTTATACTTAAATATAATTTATTTATCAGCTTATTTTGGCTCTGGACACATAAAGCAAATAACATTTCTTTGTGGATTAGGAAGATTTTCATCAAGAAGTGGCAAATTAACACACATACATTACACACGTCTATACGCATTTACTTGATAGTGTAGCAAGGGGAAAAGTGATATTTAAGTGTGTGTGTGTGTGTTGTTTTTTTTTTTTTTTTGAAAACTCTGGCCGGGGCTCATTAGGAACAGGATCAAGTAAAAAACAAAACAAAAGAAACACCACAGAGGATTCAGAAGAAGAACCACAAACACTGGCACTATCAATACCAAAGCTGGAAGAGTCACACGCGGTAAAAAGTGGAAAATAAAAACATTGACTTTTTTTTTAAAAAAATTATTTATTGGCTATATATTTCTGCTTCTACACGCAAACACACATACGCATACAAACGCTTTTTATTTATTTTTATAGTCTTAGTTGTTGTCGCTGTTTGTGTGTGTGCTTTTATTCCGTCTCCTGTTTTTCTCTTACTGGCCTTATTCGTCTTACACTGCCCGTTCTACTGTCTGCCGTGGTTCCTGCACTTATTGGTTGTAAGTGACGAAAAAGGGGCAGACCAAGAGTCAGAGGTGGAGAGCGTCTCTGGACAGATTGCTGCGTCGTATTAAGTGACAAGTACCATCGCATTCACTGCACTGGCCGCCACAGCCTCACTGTGTTCGTAGTTGACGCAAACAAGTTGGTTTATACCGTTTAATTGCGTTATTCCCCCCACCCCTTCTCTAGACCCCGCTTCATTTCTTGGATACGTCGCTTTTTATATCTTTGGCTGCTGCTGCTGTTGTTGTTTATTCTTTGCATTTGCCTGCGTATTGGAGAGATTTGAGCGGGGATCTTCGTTATTACTATTGTGATTGTTGCTGGCGTAGACCGTTTCTTTTGGCCTCCAAAGCAACATGGGGAAATCGTTGGGGTTAAGCTCGCCGGAGCTCAAGGCCCTCAGTCTTCCTTCTTCTTTGCGTTTTCTCCTCGGCGTGGAATATGACGTTTTGATGTGTGTGACGGAAGTAGGCAAGCGCCATGCGTGTACGATTAGCTTCCCTACTCTGGGAAATAACTTTCAGAAGCTTCTTGAACTTTGCGCGGAGCGTTTTGGTCTTGTCTGCACACACCATAGCGATCATTCACTCCTCTCTGGGACGGCTGTGATACCACCGTTACGCTACATTGACTACTTGCCAGGGGCTCTACACGCGGAAGAATTGCTGAGTTGTCTTGGCGTGAAACCTGTAACGACTCCAAGGCGTCATGGAGCATCGGCACATCAATTTGTAGCATCATTTATTGATTACAGTGAGTACAGTACAGATGCTTCACTTGCTGATGTGCATGGCACTGGGTTTTACATGACGCTGGATCACGGCCTTTCTCTGGCAACCCATAGCCATCTTGTGAAGATCAGCTTTTACAAGGGATTTAGTTTGGAAGAGGCACTTCGAGAATTTGAGGAGTTTAGTGGGTGGAGTACATTTGATATACGCTTTGAAGATGTGGATGACAAGCTTGCAGGCGGAGTCATTGTGATGCCTTCTGTTCAGGATGCGTGTGATCTGTTTGAAAAGTATGAGGATGAAGACTCCGACGATGAGGGGGAAATACTACCATTTATGCTTCGTCCGGTCGCCCCACTCACGTCGGTGCCTTCTGTGGAGGATTCCGCCTTGAAAAAATTGCGGGATCAGCAGTGGGGGGAAATTGAAAAATTTTGGGAACGTTTTCCAAGGTGGAAAAACTGTGTTGTGGTTTCGAACCTCTACGACTCTGCTTCACTGGAGGAGATGCTTCCCCTGTTTAAGGGCCTCACCGTCACGGCCTCCTCGGTGGTGGAGGACAACTCGCCCGCACGACGACGTCGCATTTTTGTGACCTTTGCTGCCTCTGATGACGCCAAAAAAGCGCTCTTTGTGGACGGCAAGAGCACAAAGGGGAAAACGTTGCGGGTGCAGGTGTCACCGCCGTACCTCGACGAAAGTCGTCGGGGGCGCGTGCTGGGAAGTCTACCGGCCTCGATTTCAGAACTGTCCGCACAACAGACAGGGACGGAGATGCATCCGGGGTCTGTGAGTCCTCCTGCTAACGTGGAGGAAAAACATGACGTTACAGCCGGCGGAAACCCTGAGGCCTCCTCCACAACGGCGGGAAGGGAAGAAAGTAGTAAAAAAGTTGGTGAGGAGAAAAACTGGAATGCACCTGTGTTGTCAAACAACGCACTGGCGCAAGCTTCAACCTCAGTTGCCACGCCAGTTACGCTCGCAGCTAGGGAGGGAGGGAACCAAAAGACAACTGTATCGCTGCCAAAACAACCGAACTGTAATGCACCTGTTTTAGCGTCTACGATGAATGCGAATGCCAGAGAGTTTGTTCCGTCTTCAACATATCAGTCAGCCGCCACCTCAACTGAGTTCTACCCGTCGCCAATGCCAATGGCCTTTATGCACGAGAGTTACGGAACACCTCCTCCTTGTTACCCTGCCATCGCTGTGACGCCTGTTAGTGTGGTTGGTCCAATGGCTGCGGTGCACCGAGGTTCAAGGGGCGGGACGGCCCCACCACCGTACGCATTGCCACCACCGTACGCTATCGCCACCGGGCAAAATATACCCATGGTGTCCCCGCCACCGCCGCCGCCACCACCACCACCACCACCACCACCGATGCCGCCGTCGACATTACCACATATTTGAACCGGTGGAGAGCAGCAAAGTGAAGATGTGGGATGATTGCCAAAACTGGGGACATAAGATGAGACTAGGAAGTTAGGCAGAAAACAAAAACAACACAATAGCAATAAGTCAGGGAAGAGGGGGTGGGGGCAAAATGAAAAATCAGGGGATAAAACAGACAGGCGCATCCGTTGATGGCCAACACCACCAATCGCCTTCGCTCACCATCCACTTGCGTTCCCGATTGGGGAAGGAAAGGGGTCCCGCAGGCAGAGTGGTCCCAAAAGGTATAACTTGGAGAGCAAATGCGGCACTTCCTTGTTCTTGTTTAAAAATTTGCCTATGATTGAGAGCGTCAAAAATATATATAAGGAAAGAAGAAGAGAAAAAAGAATTGGATAAAAGAAGAAATTCAAGTCAATGGCATCGCTTGGTACCGTTGCCAGTGTGTGTGGCTTCCACCATATGCTTACATTGAGATGCATGAAGCAAGGAGGTGCCAAGTCAGGTCGCACTCCGTTTTTTGTTTTCATTTATGTCGCTGTTGTCGTTGGTTTTTTAGGGGGGGGGGGGCAATGAACATGAAGTCAGCGGCGTTGCTGACGTGGATCATGTGACTCTTGTTCCCTTTTTGTTCTCGGTTTGTTTCCTTGACAAGTGGGAGCACCCCTGCCGAAGTTTTTGTTTTTAAATAAGGGAAGTAAAAGAAAGGGAAAAAGAATAGGTCTCACTGGAGGGGGGATGAAGGAAGTTCAACTCACAAGAAACAAAGGAGGCGACAAACCTTTTATTGAACGAAAAAACTCAGGACGACATAGGCGTAAACGAATGAATAGAACAGTAAGGTACAATGCAGCGTCGAGCGATGTGAGGCGGGAAGAACACCAAAATCATCTGGAAGTGTGCAACCAAGTCATCATTGTTATGCGCCACGGAGAGCGCCGCGATGGGGCAGTTGGTGCCCCATCGGAGGTTGATCCGCCGCTGACAAAGGAAGGTACAGCGCAGATTACGAAAACCGCTGAAAAGATTCGTGACATACTGGGAGAAAAACAAGCAAAACGACTACTCCTTATTGTCTCACCTTTTTTGCGTACTCGTCAAACCGCCCAAGAATTGCAGAGGTGTGGAATTGGTGATGCACACCATTCCCTCGTCGACAACACTCTTTGTGAGGTCTACGGACCTCTGCGGATAAAGAGTAGCACGGCCCCAGTGTTACCGGATGCGCTCGTGAAGAATGGCTTGGGTAAATTACCGCAGTGGGGGGAGTCTATTGAATTGGCTTCAGAGCGATATGTTGAGAATATGCTTCGTAACTCCCTCAGTTACCCACAGAACAATTTATTGCTTGTGACCCATGGAGACGCCATTAGTGCTATTGTGACAGCCGTTTATCCAATGCGCATAGTGTACGAGACGGAATATTTGTCCTTTATTGTTCTTAAAAGAGCTCCAACAAGTGGATGTGATGGTGGCATGGGCTTGTATCAATTGATTGGCTCGAGCGGAGTACAGTGGCTGGAGGAGGCTCCTACAAATTCTCTGGCGGATACGTGTACAGCGGAAATAGGTAACACTTCTAGTAGTGGCACACTTGCTCCTAATGCGACACGGCCTCCAAATTTGGCCAGCTGTAGGTATGGGCACGAAGATTCAAATGCTATTGCGATTGACGATGATTGGGATGTGGCTACTGAAGGAAGAAATGATTTTTCGGGAATTTCTCTGTTATTCCGCTTTATGTTAATTATGTCACAATTATTGACGCTTCCTTCATGGTCAGATCAGGTCAGTGCTGTGATGTACACAGGCGTGGTAATTGCCGTTGAGTTGGTTTCGGTAGCTCTTCCTCTCAGCGTGTTGCATTGCGTGCAGCTGGATGTGACGCTCAGCTCTGTGGAGCGTATACATAAACTAACAAGACGCCAAATTATGCTGCCTGGTTGTATCATAGGCCCAAGGCTGCAAAGGTGCACTCTCTCCCTATGTGTATCGCTTGTGAAGGCGTTTGTTATATTTGTGTTATGCATGACAGTTGCTTTACTTGCAGGTCTATTTTACAAGTTGAAGTTTATTATTGTTATGCGCGAGTCGTATGCCGAAGTTTTCGCATCTGCCACGAAATTTTTTGTGTTTGCTTTGTTTGTGGTGTTTGACACATGTCGTAGGTTTTATAATGTGGAGCATTGGGTATAAAGTGGTGTGATTTTCTTAGACGAAACTGTCAGCAATGCTTCTCTGAAGCGTTGGGACACGACACGATATTTTGTTATTATAGGCTGCGTATGAGTATGTATTAAAACAGATTGGTCCCATCAACAACAAGAATGAAACAACCCTCCAATTTTAGGGGCAGTGCTGTTGTTATCGCTATTCCCTCCGTTATTTCTTCCTTTGACAGCTTGTTGTAATGCCGCGTGAGTCAATCCATGCCATTCACTGCCCAACAAATTCCCCAACAGTTTCTCACCCAACATTACCCACTTCTACACGCAAACTCAGAAATTTGCTTTGTCTTTGGTTGTTGGGCCTTGCTTTTTTTTTTTTTTCGTTGCTACTCGGATCCGATACTTGCGGTACCTTGTCGCGGCGGATTGCTTCTGCCAAAGGATATGTATGGGGTGGGAGCAGGATGGAGAGGGAAGATGGACGTAAGCTTCTGTGAGCAGTGTGCGACTTTAGTAGTGGGATATACCTCAATATTCCTTCTTGTGTTTTCCTCTCTCTGTGTCTCCTTGTGTCGCGTATCACTCGCTTACGCGTTTCCTGTTATTGTTGATACTGTTGTTGCTTCGTGTTATTCTTCCCGTGTAGCAGTTGAGAGAGAGGGGCGGCAAGAGAAGGAGTGCGGGACAGGTGTAGAAGTTTGCTATCAGTCACCATCACTGCTTATCTCTTTATGAACGCAGAGGCAAGCGCCGACGAAGCTACGGCGAAGTTGGTGTCTCGTCTGGCACAGCGTTCCACGCTGTCGAGCGACGCTAAACCCTTTATTCCCTCATTCCTGCAAGCACCAGCAACCACGGCGGAACTGCAACAGACAAACGGGGAGGTAGGAAACGCCGTTGAGTGTAAGCAAGACGAGCTTCTCCGAAATGGACTGGAAGAGCTTTACCGCAACTCCGACACTTATGTGCAGCTGCCATCGGTTGGGAGCCTGGCAACCACGGCAGCCGTCGCTTCCACGGCCCTCCACACATTCGGGGATATGACGGAGGAGCAGTTACAGCAGTTGGAAGAGTATCTATGGGATCCTTCCCAAGAGAACGGGGCGGCCGAGGACGATGAGCGCGTCTTTGTCAATGACGATGATGGTATGGACGTGGCAGAAGAAGAGTGGCTTTTAAACCAGATGCTGGAAGCAGCAGGGGTCACGCAGAACGAAGAGGTCCATGACAAGAAGACAGGGAAGCCATGAGTGATGCATCACAACCACAGCCGCATGTGTGCGGACCCAATGCGAAGAATGTGGGCGCCTGGAAAAACAAGACAAACACAAGAAGCGGAGAAAAAAAAGTTGCTAGGGTCAGATACGCTTCAGGCTCGGCGTGGCGAGAGTGTGGGCTCTTGGAGGTATGGCAATGATAATTGGCTGCTCCTCGCCACCTCTTCCGCGTTACGTGCCCCTGCCGCGTAAAATTGATGGCTGGAGTAGCGAAAGTGAATAGAAAGGCGGAGAGGAGAAAAAAAAAGCCAACACTATAATATATATATAATTCCTGTTCTCATGCCTCAGGTTTTTCCTTTTCTCTTACATTTATTAATTCAAACGGCGGTACTGAAGTGTGTGTAGTTGTGTATGTAGTGTTTTGTGGTTGTCGTATTTTTTTTTTTTTACTCTTCTTTTTGCAGTCAAGGCATTTTGTTCAGGCGTGTTTGCTCTCCGTTTCTATTGCTGTCCTCCTACTGGGAGCCCTTGCACTAATGTGTTTGTCTCCAATTGATTTGCGTGGCGGGAAGGCAGGAGAAAAGGGGTATGAAAATTCTAAGGTGGTTTACCATCACGACCTGTTTAGTGTTTCCTGAAGTTGGCAAGTCACCGCTGTACGGAGGGGTGTAGTGCTCCCTTCCTCGCATATCTCATTATTGGACAGATGCAGTGAGGTTGGAGCGAGTTCCTCTGACGCATTGCCAGTGTTTGTGCGGAAATCCCTTATGAATCTGTCTTCGAGGATGCAATCTTCCTTGGAACTTAGACGTAAAGAGGAAGCGTTTGAACCTGACTGCTGTACTTGCACGGCTGTGTCTTGCCTAACCAACTCGGCACCCAGGACCAGAGTGGAATCAGGGAATGAGGGGGTCAATCATATTGCTGGTTTACCTTTATTGCCCACTGGGAGCTTCGCCGTCACTTCCTTGTGGAGCAAGGCCATACTAAATAAACGTTGTGAACGCTACTGTGAGTAACGCAGTCTGCTGGGAGCGGGCGATTGTTGCATCCACTGATAGTTACCAGGTAAACAGAGGCATTGAATTACAGATCCAGTCCGAATATGATTTGGATAAGTTTTCTCAAGGCATCGCTGCCAGAAATGCGATGGAGTATTCTTGCTCGGCTTTACTCACCGATAACCCGGACTTGCGCCATGGGGAAATGCCATCACCACGGAAGTCTATCAAGCACGGCTATTTGGATCCAGTTCCATTAGCTACTTTTGGTAAAGCACCCTACTTTACACGGGCTTGTTCTGTTGATTACGCACGCACTATAGCTGCTTCAAAGTTGTCTTCAGTAACCAGGGGTCCTGTTGATTTAGATGGGTCATCGGCGCTACGCACCATAGGACCAGGTCCAGCAATGTCTTCATTTTCCCATGGGTTGTTTTTGCACTTGACCCCCGGAGAAAAATCTATGAGATTGCCCACTTCGCGAAATGCAGTGGACACTGTGATTTCAACCTTTACTTTAGAGCATTATATTGTGAGCCGTTTTAAACCAGCGGTCCGCGGGCAATCAATGTCGCGACCACTCCGCACAGTTTTTGTGGTGTTGGTTTTTATCCCGTTTCTGTTTACTGCCTTGCTGTTTGGATTACACTATTGGCTAAGCACAAGATTAATATTTTAGCTACGTACGTACTCATGCTCGCAGCAATTCATAAGATGTTTTTCAATGGGAACATGCTTTTTTGGGGAGCACTTTCATCGAATTGGATTGATGTCAAGTGAGGTTTGTATACTCATGATGGACATTGCGCTGGCTTTTGCCGGTGAACCTTATTGTCGTTACGGGAGTGGAAACCCCGGTGGGGATAAACACCTGGCGGGTGGAGCAGAAAACAATACCAGTTCGAGCTCATCTGATCATCGATATATTTTTCCTACAAAAAAATGTGTCCTCTAATCTCACTGCTTCTACAGGTCCCAACTTGGAATTTCTGACTGAGAGTTCCTGTCCTTTCCAGTTTCGGTGGCATAATTGGGGGCGCTCTTCTTCTGAGGCTGCTGGAACGCGGGTGGCAGTGTCGATTGAATATGGTTATTGGGTGCAGCAAGTAACTTTTATGGTCTGTCGTCTGTTTTTACCGAAGTTGGAGTTTCATTCCGACGGTTCAGTAACTGTGGATTCTGTACGCCAAGTGGAAAAGATGTCAAGACTATTTCTGAGCACTGTGGAACGCCCTTTACCCCCACTCATCCGCACCGTGTCACAACAACGGAAGACGAAAATGCCTTGCCCTTCAGTGCTCCCCTTCCACTACTGAACCCCACATTTATTCTGGTTACGCCACCGTTTGGTGGCCTTTATGATGGCGATGAACAATCAAATAATACGTCAGGGTCTCTGTCGAAACTTGAACGTGATGAGGCGCAGTAAATTGGCTCTCGCTACCGTTCCGTCTCAGAATTTGTACCTAGCATGTATTTTGTGGCAGAAATTGAAAGTACGTTTTGCCTTCACCATTGCTCTGACACTGGCGATGGTGACGACTGCACCTGGGAGGACGAGGATGAAGATGAGAGGAACCAATGCGTGTTTCGTGCTTATGAGTCTCTGGGGTGCGGATCGTTTGGCGTTGTTTACCGCGGTCTTTACCCAAATGGCTACAATGTTGCCATCAAGAAATACCCAGCCCCTTCTCAGGATGAACATGACTTATGGGCTGAGCTTGCACGCTTTGAGATGAGAATTTTGTCTACTTGTCGGCACAAAAACATTGTTCGGTGTATAATCAGTTTTTTTCAAGATGGCAGCTTATATACCATTACAGAATTTGTCTTTGACGGTTCGCTCACTACGCTTGTGAATTTTTTAAAACGTTTTCCAGAGAATGTCATTAGACGCCATGCCGTTGATATTCTTCGTGGACTGTAGTATGTGCACGACCATCGTCTTGTCGATCGAGACATCTCCCCGGACAACATACTGGTGGACAATAATGGGGTGTGTAAGCTTAGTGACTTTGGTGCAGCTGTGGAGGATGCCACGCATCCAACCGATCGAGATGCCGATCACGGAAAACAAGTCGCCGCAGGTGTTTCTGCTTAGATGGTTTTGACGCAGGCCTCAGAGCGCGTGCTGTCGGGGACAATCACGGTGATACTTGAGAACTGTTTTTTGGAGCGCCTGTCTGTATGTCGCCAGACGCCTGCGCAGGAATTGTTGACCCCAAAAACGATATATGGGCACTGAGCATCACGCTTTGCTTGTGCTTCTCCGGCCAGTTTCCGTGGCCCGAGGAGGAGATGTTTGACGTCAAAAGTTTTATTGAAAAAGTCCACTGTGGCGCTCTCACCTCTCAGGTGCTGTACGACATGATGAGCTCTCAAGCTGCAGCCTTTATTGGCCTATGTCTTCGGTGGAACGCCGCTTCTCGTCCATGAGCGAAGGAATTACCGCTTCACATATTTTTGGTGGGGTGAAAGCAGATTGCCGACATATGAGCTCCCAGTGGGAGGGGGGGGAGAAGAAGTCTGGAACGCCACCTATCATGTGGTGTGTTTTCTTTTTGTGCAACGGAAGTCCGTTTTTGTGTATGCTTGTGTGACGGTTCGGTGGTATGTCAGGCACGCCTGCCTGCATTTGAACGGGAAGTGGGCGGACGGTGTCTGTGTGGGGCTCAGAAGATACAGAGCCAAAGTGTTTTTTTTCCCCCGTTGTGTGTTTTTTCTAAAGGAGAGGATAACCAAGAACTTTCACTTACCGCTGCTGCGTTTCACCTCTTCTTCGACGCCGCTACCCGTCTGCCTGTGAGAATGAACTGCGAACGGGCAAGCGGAGAATGAAAAAAAAAAGCAAAAACAAAAACGAGGAGACTGCAGTGCAGGTGGATGGGCTCCAACGAAAACGTACATATTATTGACAATGTGTTTGCAAGCGGGGAGTTTGGGTCGGGCCAGCGCCCGCATCCATTACGGGGAGACACGAGGGGGAAATTGTGTGAGATGCAATGTATTCTCTTCATAGACAACATGAATGCGTCTACTTCTTCACCGATGACTTTATCGCTCTTTCAGTTCTGGGGGGTTTCTTGCTGAGTGGCTGTTACTTACGTTTTTATATGTTTTCTTTTCTTGTTGTCGTTGTTCAGTCCCATGAGACGTTGTTTTTCGTTTCTCTCAGCAGTGGCATTGCTTCGTTCGCAGGCGTGGCAATATGCTCTTCTTCTTGGTCTGTTTGTGCCTTTAAGTTTGTGAATATCCCCATTGTTTTTTGAATTTCCCTTTTTCCCTTTCTCTCCAATCACCATGGTCTGCGTTCGTCTGATTCTTGTGGGCATTACAGTCATTGTTGCTGGTTCTCTCTTCGTGCATGGAAGTGTGCCGTTGGAGTACATGTGACGGGTGATGACGTCCGTGCAGGTGGTCGCTGCGATATTTTGGTCGTTCGCATATATTCGCTTCTCCTTTTGCTTTTCCAGACCGCTGTTTTTTTTTTGTTTGTTGTTGTTAGCTACACGGCGGAATACAGGCAAAATTAAGAAGGTTTCTTAAAGGATGAACGGTCATATGCAAGACGCTACAGGTAACACAGCGTTAAGGCCTTTTCTGCTCTCTGGGAAGGTGGTGCGGGGCCACGGTCGTGGTGGCACATGTCTTGGAACCCCCACAGCCAACTTGATGCTCAATGACGATGTGATTGCGCAGCTGCAGCCGTACAAGAACCTTGTCCTGTATGGGTGGGGAATTGTGGTCGCGGTTCCCGGGAAGGAGGCGGCGGGAGGCGAGGGCCCTTATCCCTTTGTCATGTCGATTGGCTACAACCCTCATTTCAAGGACGTGAGTCTCTCAGCAGAGGTGCATTTTATGCATCAATTTGCAGAGGATTTCTACGGCGCCATCGTGAAGATTGTCGTCTTGGGAACCATTCGCGAGATGGGAGCCTTTGTCTCTCTGGAAGCACTTGTGGATGCCATTAAGAACGACATAAAACTCACAAAGGAGGCGCTGCAAAAACCAGAGCTTGCGCGGCAGAAGGAACATATCTTCTTGTCTCTCTCTCTTAAGCCCTCAGAGGCGCACCCCTACTTTGAGGCGACAGTGGTTTGAAGAGCGCTCATCCCCAGAAAAAGGAGGAAAACTAAAAACGGAGTGAAACTCATTTCAGGGTCAACTTTGATACCCTGGTGGATGTGGTTACCGTTTAAGTTGTTTATTACTTTTTTTTTTTCAAATATGGGCGGGAAAATGTGTTAGGGTTGTGGCAGTTTCACAGGCTGTTTGGTCTTTTCTCTCACGATGCGTCAGTTTCTTTCCTGGGGGTTGAGGAGCAAATTTTCTTACCTGCAGGGCACCTGCGGAGGGTCAGGCATGAACGGGCAGTACCTGCGAGTAACGCAAAATGCTTCTGTTATCACCGCACGTGGCACCGCCTCTAAACTAGCGAGACATTTTGTTTTTTGGTGTAAGGAAGGTAGTTGAAGGGCAGTATCATGATGTGTTTCGGAAAACAATGGAAGTAAATAAATTTGGGCTAGTGGGCAATGTGAATTTGAAAGGTGAAAAAGGTTTCTTCACTCAGCCCTACTTCCGTGTTGTTGTTGTTTTGGTACTGTGTGTCTGTGTGTGAGAGAGAGAGAGAGAGGTCTGCGCGTGGTTTTTATTTTATAAGCGTTTTAAAAAATAATGGCTGCTCATGTGTCTGAGTTTGTTCTCTTTTTTTTGTTATATATATATATATATATAGGTGACGACATGTATCGTTCCCGTGGGGAGTTGCGTACATTTGCGCAATGTGTGTTTGCGCTCTACTGTGTGGACGAGGGCCTCTCCATCGCACGCTTTCGGCTTGCATGGTACGTGCTGTGGGGAAAGTGGCCCAATGAGGGTGTTATACACCTGCTGTTTAAGAAGGACGCGACTGCGGACAGAAGTGAAGCATCTAGTGGAGAGAAGAACGTGACTGGAGAAAATGACGCCCCTGGAGAGGAGCACAACCACCATCTTGTTGGTGCTCCTTTGGTGCGGTCTGCTCATCCCTCTGTTTTGCGTGGACGAATTAATGAGGATGAATTTATACGATTTACCGTCACTTATCATGACACTATGGGAGCCGACGCGGTAGAGTTCAGTGGTGCAGAGGACACTGACGCTGCCATGACAGACATCCAGAGTGCTCCCTCTAGTATTCTGCGGGCCCGTCAGTGGGTGCAGTTTCAGTCCCTCGCCGGATCGAAGGGGTATGTGACACTTGGTGACCTTATCGCCGCAGAGAATGTGGATTGGCTTCATCGGCCCGTGAGTGGAGAATCAGAGGGCAGTGCTGCGGTGAAGCAGGCAGACCCCGATTCATCGACTCTCACGCAGGGTGGTGGAGATGGAAGATTGGCGGTGCTATCGCATGTCTTTGCCATTGTCGATAGGGATAGAGATGGTAAAGTTGTTTTTGACGATGTGGTGCGCCATCTTGGCACCACAGCGTGAACTGGTATATGCGCAGAGTATACTTTGCAGTAACTCCGTTTGCATAACGTTTTTTATGGAGGTATTACTGATTCTCGTTTTTTTTTCATGCTGTTTTTTTTTGTTTTGATGGAATTTCCCATTTTGAAGTGTGCGTCTTTTTCTGATGTGGTTATTGTCTTCACCTCGATGTGGCTTTTGTCTTTGTGACTTAGTTGTTGTTTGTTTGCCCTTGCGCTTGGTCTGCTGAAGACGTATAAGGGGTGGGGGCGTTGCTGCTGCTGATGCCCGAGTTTGGCACCCAAGTGTATTGGCACGAGATCCCAGCCTGTTTGCCGCCGTGGAAGGACGAGGCGGAACGCGCACGCACGTGGCGCATCAGTCGCGGCGTCGAGGGGGCTATTAGTGATAACCGTCATCTGTTGGTACTGCCTCGGGCGGAGCTCTTAGAGCGGCGTCGGGCGGAGCGTACTCCCCGAAAGCGAACTAATCGTCACTGGGGCATTGTGCTCGAGCCGTATCTTTCTCCGCTGCACGGACTCAACATGGTGATGAGTGAGCTGCAGGTGCCCCCTATCTCCGCGGGGGAGGCTAGGGAGGCCGTGAACGTTGTGCGCGAGGAATGCAATGTCATGACTCAGCAACATACGCAGCGCGGCACACAGTCACGGACACTGTCACAAGGAGGAGTAAAGACGGAGACGCTGACGCAACAGAGTGCCGCCGCAGCGATGGATCTTCGCGAGGCCCCGTTACTTGAAGTGGTAAAAATATTGTGCGCCTCACGTCGGCTAGAGGTGACGACGTTTAGTAAGGCGGAACTTCGACGCAAGGGTCGTCTCGGGGCGGCAGATGTGTTGCCGCGGAGACGCGTTGTCATGGCCTTTGACCGAAGCAAACCATTGTTTGTCTTTGCGACAGCTGTGGTCGCGAAGAAACGGAACACGGGTACGGAGATGGCATGTTATTTGCAGCTTGTCGCGCCAACCTCAAATCCTGTTCCATGGCGTCGGCTTCAGCTGGGAGTGATGCCATATCTTCCACCCAACGAATGTGTGGTGGTGGCGGTTCAGCGGCATCACGACGATGACGAGGAGAACGACAACAACAGCAGCGACAGCGGCGCAGACAGGACTTACCAAAGTGAGGCACACGCGCAAAAGGAACTTGTGCTGGGAGATGATGAAACAGACACAGACGATGGGGAAAAACCGTGTGGGTTTCAGCCACGGCAGCAATCACATGAAGACGACAACAAAGAAATTCAACGGAGACGGAAGCGGTTGCGTGAATTGCGCAGTGACGCCTCAGACACGAGCGAAGAGAGTGAAGCTAGTGACGATACCGCCTCTTCCCACCGATGGGACGAGGCGGTGCGGAGTAGGTTCCTCGGGCGGGATCCCATCTTTACCGCGGAGGATATGCTGCAAGATGATCCCCTCTTTGACACACCTGTTGCGGTGCTTCGAAAACCCTCGCGGAGAACGCAGGGGGTGCACGATTGGATCCAGCGCCTGGTCCAAGTAAGTTTCCGAAAGCGGCTCTACGCCGCTAATTATTGAATTGCACCTCCCACTCGCGCTAGCAGCCGCAGTGGGTGTTGAATGGGGCCCCCTTTTTTCCCTCCCTACCCCGCACCGCACCCACCAAACCGTGAAACTCAACGGCACAGTCTGAAGGGATGGGCTTGAGATGAAGGAGGATCTCCCTCCGAGTTGTGCGACGAGGATGGCGAGCTTTTGGTCTGCCTTTTGTGTTTCATGTTGTCGCCCCCCCCCCCCCCCCCCCCCCCTACCTACCTATTGTCCACACATACACGAAAACAAAAAACAAAAACAAAAATATTTTTCCTCGTTGCAATTATTTGAATTGATACCTGATTATTTATTAGAAACTGGATGATGGTTGCTTGTAAATTGGAGTGCCACACACCGCAAAATGACCCCATTGTCGTTGGTGGCCACAAGGATGTTATTCAGCGCGGTCCAAAGGCTGCGGACGATGTCGCAACTATCACGAAGAAATCCACCGGGTGGGAAGTGCTCATGTACCTTGGGATGGCACTGCGGATTAACGAGACGATGTGCGCATTGGCTGCGATAGCGCCATCCGTTGTGGCGATTTTGTGCCTTGAGGGGGAGCATTCTGGTGTTTGGATATATCTGGAAAAGAAAGAAAACAGGCTTTTATTGGAGGCAATCCACGAGGAGCTTCAGAAGACGAGTGCTCATACGCATGGCTGTAATCAAGTCATGGACAGAACTCGCTGGGTAGTCTGTTTGATTGATGTAACCGACGGGATGTGCCTACCCTGCGTGGCAGACATTAAAATTGGGTACATCCGTCACTCCCCACACACGCCACCGGAGAAATTGGAGCGTATCAAAAAGAAGCGTCTGGTTCAGCCGCTCGCCCTTCGGCTGTGTGGTGCCCTTCACTACTTTTACCGCACCGTTTCTAATGAACAACATATTGAAAAGGAAATATGCGGAAAGGACATGGGGTATCTCTTGCATACAAGCGAAGATCATCGCGATTGTTTTCAGGCTTTTTTCTCATCCACAGTCAGCATGAGCCCTGATGGGACAGGAACTAGACGCGATGACAGTGACATTTTCTTTGCACGGCTACGCGCCTGTCGTAAACAGATTGAGAGAATTCTTTTGTTTTTTAACAGTTCGCTGGGTTGTGCGCTGTTGGAAAGGACCGCCTTTGTTTCAACATCTCTTCTGCTGGTGTACGATGCCGCGAACTGCGTGCATAAAAACGTTGTTAGCAAGGACACTGCCGATGTTCAAGTGTACCTGATTGACTATGCTCGAGTGTGTGACCGACGCCTGAACTTTTCGGAGGAAAAAATTGGCTTTATGCGTGGATTAGAAAACATTATTCGTCTTTTTTCGTAAATGAGAAGTGTCTGGTGCGGGGACGATAACTGCTGACGGCAGGGGAGGAAAAGCTGTGATGAACTGCGTCGAATTGTTTGGCACTCCTTTTGCTCATGGTTTTACATCTTTGTGCTCTTGCTCACTCTGCGCAGCACTCTTGCTACAGCCTGTGAGGCCTGTTCCGATGCCATAATTGCCACTTCGCACGTATGCACGGGAGGTGGGCATGCACATATTGCTGGTGAGTTGTGTGGCCTGTGTTGCTCGTTTTGTTTCTTCGCGGAATGACACGGCATTGCGTTTATATATACAAATTTCACAACAGAACAAATGTGGTTTTAATTTACAGAGTATTTAAGTGAGCTGGCACGTTACTGTGATGGTTTTTTTTATTTGCTTATTTTGCATTCTACACCACGTCACGCAGTAAACTTTTTTTTTTTTTGTCATCCTGCTGAGTCACATTTCATGTTTGTTTTTTGCCCTGTTTTTTTTTCCCCCGCTTTTTTTTTGTCATGTATCTTGCGGCCCTCTGCGGGTAAGGCTGTAAGGTAGAGTACTTCCGCCAAGAGACCCCCATGCCGGCAAAGACCCCTCGCGGTGAGACATCGCAGAATGACGCAGCATCAACGATGTCCACCATACCAGCAACGCGCGGGGGGCTGACGCGCTCCACAGTGCTGAGCTCCTTCGAGGAGGAAGGCCCCGACCAGCGCGATCCGTGCCACTCACACCGTCAGCTTTTCATGACAGTTATTGGTGAGCTGTCATGTGTATCACAGGATGATCACTTTGAAGAGGCAGAGGTGACAAGGAGTCTTCCCAGGGAAATTCACATTGATGATGATGACAGTCTCTTTATGGGGTACCTCAGGCATCCTGCGCGGGAGGTGACGCCCACGCCAGTTGACAGGCGAACTTTGGCGGCGCGTTCCGACGATAGGGATGGCCGGTCGAGGCGTCGCCGGTTTCCCCTTCTTATGGATCACATGGGATAGTTATGGTTCCGGGAGAGCGGTTGCGTTGTGTGGATTTGTCCTCGATGCGCTTCTTTCGACCGGGGGGGGGGGGGGGGAATGCGTAAGTGGGTGAATGGGCAGGGCTCATCTCTCGGTGCATGACCTTATGAGTTATTATTATTATTTTTACTTACCGCTTTCGATTTTCACAACGTTTTTGTTTTGTTTTGTTTTGACGTGTGTAGCCTTGTTGACTGCGCAGGAGCCCTATGAAGGCTCTGTGATTATCACATGGTATCCAACGAGAGTGAGAAGCACAGCTGGGTTTGTTGAAGCTTCACTTTTTACTTTTTACCACTTCCTCGGGTTTGTGTTTGTAGAGCAAAATAACAATAATAATGGTTGGTATGAACTCATTACATGCCGTACCGACGGGTGATGGGTGCGGCTGTGCGGGTATGAGGAAAAGAGTGAGAGCGAGTCAAAGAAGAAGGAAACTTGAAATTATACATGTATGCTTGTAATCAAAATTTATTTCCACTGCAATGGGAAAGGATGTTCCTTCCCTCATGAGTTTTATCGCAGTATTTGCCTTTTTTCTATGCTGCTCTCTTTTATTGCATATACGTACTTGACGTTAGAAAAAAAGGAAAGAAAAAAAGTTGTCACATGTATGTATAGCTGGAAGAAGAGCATGGGGAATAGAAGAAAGATGGAGTTGTGTTTGATTTTATTGTATTTTTTACATTTGTGTACCTTTAAGTGTGTGGATTTCTTATTTATTGATTTCTTCTCTGTATGTGTGTGTGTGTGTGTCTTTGTAGTTGGGTATTGCCTAACTAATGAATTTGCACGTCGTTGCTTGGTTTTGTATCTGACGCCGTAGTGGAGGTTCCTCCCTGGTGTCGCGTTCTGAAAGGGGGTTTGGCTTCCCGCGGTGGCACGTCTTCCCTGGAAGATGGGAAGTAGAGGCCGCATACGCGAGGAAGTGTATATGGGGGCTTTTGGCTGAACTTTGTTGAAAGTATCTGGCTGCGACTCCTCGTGCCCTTACAGTTATTTTTCTTGAGGGATGATGGAGGTTGCGTTTTTTTTTTGTTGCTTTGAGAATCTTTCCCTCTTATCTTCTGCTTTTTCTGTTTTCGACATCGTCGTGGGGTGACTTGTCGTTGTCCCCACGGGCACGAGCGCATGCACGGTGTGGGAAAAGGTGTCAAACGAAACAACAAAAATTCAACCGGCGGTAGGCGGGATTTACTGGCGGAATGGCGTCATCGACTTCATCCAACGCCGCAGTGAAGTGGCGCTCTGCTCTCCGGAACTCGACAGGCCGTTTAAGCAGTCACTCCTCCATGTCAGTCGCTCTGGAGTCGGAGTTGGACCCACGCGTCGCGACCCTCTCCCAAGTGACAATTTACACTGATGTTCCGCACGCAACGCTGCAGAACATCATTAACATTGCTGTGGAGACGTACAACAAGTTTGTGTTGGTGCCCACGCGCAACACGTGGAGGAAGGAGGAGGGGGCTAGAAAAGAACTGGAGCGCGAGGTTGAGCGCTCAGCTCTGAGGGACATTGCAAAGATGATCAAAGAGAATGTAGAGAGCGCCTTGGGCGGGACGTGGCACGTTATATATGGTCGTTCCTTCTCCACCTATGTCACCCACCAAACACGCTCTTTTTGCCATTTTCAACTGGATGGTGCCAATGTAGTTGTCTGGCGTCATGGTTAGTGGCGGTGATCCCTTTTTTTGTTTGATTGGTTGTTTTTTGTGTTGCAACGATCATTTTTTTTTTTTTTTGTCTTCGCTGAATGTATATTAGATGTAGATTTATCCCTCTCCCTCTCCTTCTCCCTCTCCCTATCCCTTTTCGCCTGAAAGTGGATGCTGCTGCCGAACGCTTTTTTTTTCTTTTCGCGTGTCTCAGATGGCAGAGCAAAGGTCGTGGTCGCTTGCCAAGCCCTTGGAGAAGGGGGCCGTCCTGCAGAAACAGGAGGGCAGCAGGCTCAAAATATCGTCGTTGCTTGCCGGAAACGACGATGAGCTGGAGGCCCTCAAACAGGAATTTGCTCCCTACCCACAAGGCATGACGATGGAAACCTTTTTTGGGGTGTTTTTTCGTCACATTGAGAAGAAATGGAAGTTTGATCGTTTTGGGATTTCGCAGCGCCTTCTATCCATTTTGCCAGCCGACGCGCTGGCAGAGTCTCACGTGAGTCTATACAGCGTGCTGAGAAAGTCTGTGTTGAACCCAGGTCGAACGGCGTCGATGATTCCCGCAAATAAATTCAACAACAGAAAGATCTGTATGCAACAAAACGATACATTGATTGCGCTTAGGGAGGGCACCTCATTCCAGCGTTCACGGGGTTCGTCGTTGCTGAGCCTACATGCACTTGAGACGTTATTTGAAAAAATTGATAATGACAGTGATGGGCGTATCTCTTGGGATGATGTACTGCAGCTGGCAGTGGAGGAGGCCACACAAAGTATCACTAATATGACGGAAGAGATGCACTCATATTTTATTTCTCGTGTTTTTCCACGGACGCATCTCATCCACATGGTGCATACACTTCCAGAGCACAAGTCCATGTTTGCCCTTGTGTCACGAGTGGAACCTCTCGTCTTGTTAAGTAAAAAGGACTTTGGTGTGGTGAAGGAGTTTAGCTTGAAGGATTTTGGCAACAACCATCCTCAACTCATTGAATACATGCCAACGCCAGATGTTATCCTTGCCTACACAATAAATGACAAGACAATACGCGGCTGGTGGAACGTCGCTTCAAAGAGTCGTATGGGAACGCTCTCTCCATTGTGTGTAGGGGAGTCAATCCGACGTATTTGCACGCAACCAAATATACAGCCTTATTCCTTCTTTACTAGTGGCAGCCGCGGGAACGTGGTACGTTGGCAAGTACCCCAACAATGTTCCGTGCTAGAGATATCCCGGGCGCATTCCTATGAAGGACTTCACTCCCCTGAAAGTGGCGGCATCACAGACTTTGCGCTTGCGGATGAATGGATATTCTCTACAGGATTTGATCGCCGTTTGCTTTCAACAAACCTTGAAACGGGACGTTCGGTTCTTGTTGGACTTCCGCATAATACGATTCGGTTTATCGAGTACAATAAGCATTACACCTGTTTGCCTACTGTGTCTTATTCAAATCACATTTTACTATGGGATGCTCGATCGTCTGCAGTGGTGCCGGGTGCTACCTTTGGTGCTGGGGGATCAAAGCCACACACCGCCGATATCATTGGACTTTGCAATGCTCCGGGTCTGCCCCAAATAATTACCTGCGATTGTACGGGAATGATTAAAGTGTGGGATCTGCGTACCCTTCAGTGCTCGCAGACGATATATGCTGACAGAAGTGCTATGGATGATGTTAATGTAGATTCTAATTGTGGCGACAAGGCAGATACTCTCACTAGTGTGTCGTTGGCGTCTCGTCATGTACGCAAAGGTGATACGCACAGTATTCGTTCCTTTGGCATCTTTCCGCATACGCAAGAAGTTGTGTGTAGCTCCTCTGAATCCATTTACTGCCTTCGATGCAATCAACGCTGCGACGGTCACACTGCCGACGTCGAGTCTATACGTTTTGCCTTTTATGATCCACGCCAGGGTACGATCATTCTTCAGGGAACGGCGCGCACATCGGTTTGGGATGCCGTAGATGGATCCCGCAGGCGTGTGTTTGATCGCACAACTCATGCAAATATTCCATATTGGAGGCAAGAGGTTTTTGCCGTCTGCCTGGACTACCTGCGGAACCGTCTCTTCTTTGCGATAGCAGGAGGTACGGTGGAGATCCGATCATCCAAAGATTTTTCCGTTTTGGAAACATTTTCAATGCATAAAGCCAACGCACAGGCGATGCTCTTTAGTACGAAACACGAACTACTTGTGAGCATTGCAGTTAACGGTTCGCTTGCCCTTCGATATGAACGCAATTCTGAGCGTTCTGTTTCTACCATTGGACTCTCCACCAACCCGTTGCGCGCGCTATCGTTAAGTGACGAAGCAGGCATAATTTTGTGCTGCGACGAACGCAACCTCTTTTTTTTGGATTACAAACAGACAAAAATGCATGCTGTGACTGTTGCGCTGACGTGTCCGCTGTGTACGGCCGCCATGCTTGGCACCTACCCCGTGGCAGTCACGAGTAGTGATGACGGGGAGCTTACCCTGTGGTCGTTACCGCCTGCAGAAAGAAGTTACATGCCGTTGGTGTCTTTTTTCGTTGGGCAGTCTTCCTCAGATATTGGGCTAAGTGAAACGGAAAAGAAGACCCCTCTTAACGGTTCATCGTTGCTTTTTCTTCAGCAGAGTGATCTTGTTCCATCAGCTTCTCATGCAGCCCTCGCAACAGAACCCCCCAAGGAATGTTCCAGCGGCGAATCTGATGACTCCCCAGAAGTTTTTGGAAAAACTGGCAAGAAGCAGTCAGGCTTTACCGACTTACTTGATATTATTGCCGCGGATGACAGAGCGAATAAGGCATATACTGCGATCTCTTTTGATGATGTTTCGCATCGTCTTTTTGTGGCAGACCAAAAAGGAAGGTTGTTTATTCACTCGTGCTGTAATTTCCTGCGCGGATTTGGCATTCAGCATTGCTCCTTTGAGAAACGCACGAGGTATCCTCTTCAGGGTATGCATAAAGGCGTTAACACGTCTCAGGTACCGATATTACTTCAAACTGTTTCGGTTCACAAAGGTCCTACAACATTTATGGCCTGGTTCCCTGGATTAAGCGCTGTCATTTCATGCGGCAGTGACAACCTGGCGAAAATCCTTGATCGTGATGGCGCTGTGACTGGACAGCTTGTGATGGATCGGTTTTCATCTAAGATGCTCTCGGATGAGGCGGAAGGAGTAGAAACTAAATTTTCTACTGAAAAAAAGTTTAGGACATCCCTGAACCCTTTTACACTACCTCCTCCTCTCCCAACCTCGGCCCCGTGCCAGGAGTGCGTTCAGATTGAAAAAGAGCTGAAAAATTGGCCACAATCCCCACTGATGGAGACAAACGAAGAGATACAGCAGCTGCCGGTTGTGAACGGGTGCCAAGATGGTAGTTGTGTGTCATTGGCTAGAAACGATTCTACGTCAACGAAGATGGACGCTTTTTTGGTACAGTGTGTGAAGATGTTCACGACAGCTCAAACAAGAAACCGTTGTTGCCCTCTCCCGTCAGCAATCGGCTGGTGGAGCTCGAGGAAAAGAAACAGTGGCGCCCACGAAGGGAAGAGCCACGCGCTTTTCGGGGGAAGGAATACGATGTGGCAACACGGACAATTTGCAGTGTTGAGGAGGCAATGACCGACCAAAAAACTCTTCGGCAGCGAAGCCGCCTGATTTCTGCCGAACCTAAAGATTCCCCAGTTGCATGGTGGAAAACTGTGCGTGTGCCAATCACCGCCTCTATCACGAAAAGGCGTCTGACCACGTCTTCGGTTTACCCGCCTAATAATAGTGATACTGATAATAACACTAGTAATGGTGGGGGTCGTTGTGAGGGTACACCTACTGCCCTAACCACATTGGGCGGGGAGTTAACGCTTTCGGGCGTCTCCCTGTCGCCATCCACGCTGGTCCCAACGAAACCGCCGAATGACACCCTGGTGGAACTTTTGGAACTGTCTATGAACGCGCAGCAGAAGGACAGGCGAGAGAGGGAAAGAAGATTTTTGAGGAGAGGGACAAGACCGACGCCGACATTTAGACCCGCGAATCGTCTCGTGAACACAAGGGAAGTTGGAAAGGAAGAGGGTGCAGAACCCTTTCTGGATGTCATTTTGCGCACCTATGAAAATGAGCTGCATCGTTGCATCCGTGGCCGGAATGGAATGGAACGGATTTTAAAGAAAACGCGTAATGCAAAAATACATTAGACGCATGCAACTGTTTCACGTTTCTGATGGATGAATATCCAACACCATTCTTTTTTTTTTTTTTGTGTCTCATTTCAATCACAGTGCTTTTATGTTTGTTGTAGTTGATTATATATATATATATATATATCCTGGAAAGGGAAGATGTTTTTGGTTATGGAATGCCTTGGTGTACATAATAGTCCTTTTTTGATACAGTCTGTTGCGCAAATTGCTTATATGTCAATTACTGTATGGGTCGAATTGAAATTTATGAGCACGTCCGCGCTAAGAGTAGACGCGTATATATATATATATATATATATATCTTGCGGATGCTCTGCGAGTCTCTGAATGAATTTGTTTTCTTTTCCTTGTGGATCACTGGGATTGTTTCATCTTGATGCCTTATTTCTTTAGGACAGGTTGGTAACCGCAGAGCATTAAGGGCGGCATCACAACGGGTTGAAGAGAATTTATAGAAAAAGCAATAACTTTACAAAAATAAGAACAAAGGAAAAAGAAGGAAATACAGAGAGCAAAGGCATCACACCGCTTGAACAGCTGCATAAATCAACAGAAGAAAAACAAAAAAAAAGCGGACAATGAAAATGTGGCCTCCTTCTGTTATTGGAAAGGTGTGTTTGCTTGTGGAAGCGGGCGGTGTTCTCCTTTTAATATATGCAGCTTGTCGACAAATGGGGGGGTTAGTGCAGTCAAGGAAAAAGAAAGCCAGTGAGAGGCAGTCAGAGAAAGACGTGACAGTTTTTCAGAACAGAACTGCACAAACTGTCCCTGTGGAAGTAGTTGTGGAAAGCCTCTCAGCCGGATGGACCACCGCACCGCCCATATTTTACCCACCGAAGTTGGCGGTTATTCCTATTTTACGCTTTGAGGTCGTCACGAACGGCGGGGATTCAGAGCAAAACAATTTTATTTTGTGCGATGGACCTCGGTCTCGTATGCTTCAAACACCTACAGGAGATGAAGAAACGGTGTCTTTTTATATGGAATATCTTAAAAGCATGCCTCTTTTCCAAACTGTAGCTACTCAGGGAGCAACGGTGTTGCCTCTAAATGAAGCGGGATTCTCATGTGAAACTGAATGCTTCACCCACGCTGCCATTATTCCGGATAAGAAAATGGTTATCGTTTTTGGTTGTCACGGGCCATATATACTTTCGTTTGTCTTAACGCAATATACGTCGTCCACTTTAAATTTGGAAAACGGCATGGGTTCAGTAGGAAACTTGACTTCTGGTGATGTCCAAATGTTGCTTGGGGCATGCCGCCTTGTACCTTTGGTGAATGGACTGTGTCTTCCTGGAACTCCAGTAGGTGCTCGAAAGGGTTCTCTGCGATTGACGTACCGACATGGGAATAACATACTTGTGTTCGCCCTCTCATCCTTGGTGGCTGTGCGCCAGAATGTGGAAAGGGATGGAAAAAGAAATAAAGATGCATTGGATCCACTCTTTTTTCTTGAGGGTGATGTTTTACCAGATAAAAGAATTGTTGTCGGTGGCGATACCCTGGACGCACTTGTGAAGGGCATCTCTGTTGACGCACTATTCCCGTCCTCGACGCCCGCCAACCCACCTGTGTCATCGTTTTTCTCTCTGGTCACAGTGGAAGAGCTCGTGGGTTGTGTGGAAAACGGAGCTGGTGATCGTGCACCGCCCCTACACGAAGATGATGTCATGAAAATTGTTTTTTCGCATCCTCACCTCGGTGTCAGCTTTTCCGTCAATCCGAAATCAGGTGTCGTTCACGAGCCGATTTTAACGGAGGATCTTCTTCTGCTGTATTACCCGTTGGGTGATGAAACCCATTACTCTATGTCGTCTGGGCAGAGAGGGGACGATGCACCTCCACGAGTCTCTATTCGTCGCCTAACGCAACTTCCACCGACATGGGAGAAGTTTCTTTCCACAGAGGATGAGTTGAAGCACAACGTTCTTTTCCACTTTACAGATTGGACCAGCGAAAGGGTTCCCTGCAACATGTGCGACGTTAACGGCTTGCAAGGCGTCCAGCTGTTTGAGTCCAAGGAGGACCACAGCTGCCGCACGTACGTGATTCCACGTGACGGCGCGATTTTGGTAATTCGCTGGGAAACGAAAACCAGAGATTGGGCCATGTACTTGCCTCTTCTGCAGAAGTTTCTTGACTCCCTGCTTCTAGAAGATTTTTCGGCGTAAGGCGGAGAGGAATGCGGAGAAGAGGGAGAGGAAAAAAGAAGTAAAGGGGCGGAAAGTAACCAACAAGGCCTTGAAGAAACAAACAAAAATGGGAAAAGGAAACTCAGTGGCTACGTGGAGATATACGACTGCAAGTTTGTGTGATGTTGAGAGAGGGACAACTCGGCGAGGAAGAAACTCAAGGGAATGCGTCGTTTGTATTTCTCTCACTGCTTCTCTTTGCTGCCCTTGTTTTTACATTGCGCAGCGCATGGAGTTGGGTTCTCTATAACGCATCGTGGGGGATGCTTGGGGTTTGAGTCCTTCTTCCGTTTAGTGTTGTTTTATTTGTTTGGCCCTTCCTTTTCGTTTGCCCTATTGTTGTTGTTGTTATTTTCGGTGATATTTAAGTCCGTTTTGCCTGAGCAGCGCCCACAGTATTTTAAAGCTTTAAAACAAAAAAAGGGAGGGGTAAAAGGATTTACGTTGCGAGGTTGCAATTTTTCCTCTTTTTCTGTTGTTGCTGTTTTTCTTGTTGTTGT